TTTCATTATAATAATTAATGTAATTTTACTGATTATAACTCATGATCTAATGTATAAAAATGAACCAATTTTTTTTCTTGTATAGCTACAAACTTCTTATATTCAAATATAATTTTTTTAAAATGCACAAAATTTGAGAACTCTTTGAATTTGAACGAAGTGAGATAATTAACCTTTAAAAAAGTAGTTATGTTAAGTGAGATATTGTAAATATTCTTGACATTCTAAGTTTATTATTCATAATATTATTGAAAATATAAAACTGAACACTAAATTTCCAATGCTTCTAGGTCTAACAGACTACCTAAATTAACAGAGAGATATGTTAATTATCTTATAAAAACTATTAAAAAGAATAAATAACAATTCTTAGATAAAATTATAGAAAAATTCAATTAGATATTAATAGATTTAATAAGTTCTAATACTATAAAGCATACTTTACATAATGAAGATTTTATAGTCATGTTAGAAAAATAAAATCTTTGGTATCTGAAGTAAATCATAAAAAAGATTAGAATGTAGAAAAGATTGGGAATCTAAGTGGAATACAATAATATGAAGTGATGAGTCTCACTTTTTATTATTTTAAGATGATGCTTATTATTAGGTCTATATTGTTCTTATAAAAAATATGATATAAATTGTTTAATTCCTACAGTAAAGTTAGGAAATTAAGGTATTATGGTATAGAGATATTTTACTAAAAATAAAATTGAGCCTTTAATTCAAGCTTTTAGTAGAATCACAGATTCTATATATATTAATATTTTAAATAATAATCTTTTACTCTTTATTGATAAGTTGAGAACAACTTTAAAGTATATTTTTCAAGATGATAATGATTCTGTTCATCAGGCAAATGCAATTAAGGAATGAGTAAAAGAAAATGAAATAACCAATATTTTATGGCCTGCATATATACCTAATCTTAATCTAATTAAGCATCTGTAAGATATTTTAGAAAGAAAAGTCTATAAATATAAGTCACATCCAAAAATCTTAATGAATTAATGGTCATTTTGAAGGAAAAGTGATATGAAATTGAATCAGAAATTTTAGAAAATTTAGTAGAAAGTATACTGAGAAAAATGTAAGCTACAAAGGGTAGACAAAAGTTTTCAGACACCTTTATAAATGTGATTTAAAAAATTTTTGTCATATAATTATGATACCATACTACAGTTATATAATCGTCAATTGTTTATTTACATAATCAAAATAAAAAAAATTTGTGTTGTTTTTATTATTTTAATTTATATTACTTAATCTCTACCAAAATGAAAAATAATGGGACAAAATAAAGAATTAATCAAAGAATAACGCAGAGCTATATTTTACTACCACCAATATGATAACAATTACCAGATTATTGCAAAGATCATTAACTGCAGAAAATCAACTGTTTGTGATATATTAAAAAAAGCTAATACCACAAGATCAACTGAATCAATGCCTTACTTTGAACGACTATCCTTGATTACAATTCCTCAACGTAATCATCTCAAATAAATCATTACAAAAGATAAAACTAAAAATCATCATCTTTGTATTGCTGGAGTGTAGAAACTTTGAAAAAAAAAGTCTAGACAAGATGTTTCAACCCAGACTATTAGATGAGTTCTCTATTTAACTGGATTAAAAAACTGTATTATATAAAGAAAAACTTTAATTTTACTAGAGAACATAGAGGCACATCTCGTATGATATTTAAAGCACTAAAGTTGGACAAAAGAGAATTAGTTAAAGGTCATGTAAAGTGATGAATCGACCTTCTTTCAATTCCAATAAAGTCACAATAGCAGAGTGTAGCGAGAACCAGCAGATGAGTGGATTTTATCCTGTATATCAGCCATAGTAAAGTATAGTCCAAGCTATATATATTGGAGCTGTTTTTTTCGAAAAGGAAAAGGACCAATTGTTACATTATCTGGAACAGCAAATAATGAATCACATGTCACTATTCTTCATAAATATGTAATGTCAGCTATGAGATGAATATTTTTCAATAATGATAGCTGATTTCAAAAAGATAATGCCCGTCCGCACAAATCAAAAAATTGCAATGAATTTTCAGGCAGAAAATAGTTTTCTTACATTAATTTGGCCAGCCCAAAGTTCTGACCTTAACCCAATTGAAAATTTATAGATTGAGATTAAAAAAAATATTCATGCATATAAAAAATCATCATCAAATCTTGCTGACCTTGGCTGATATATTAAAAAGGCATAGTGAGAAATTCTGATGCATACTATTGAAAATTTAGTTAATAGTATATCACAGCAAATTCAGGCTATAATTGCAGCAAAGGGAGGTCAAACCAAGTATTAAAAGTTTAATATGAATTGTATACCTTAACCAGCTCTAAATAAAATAATATTAGAATTTTTACTATTAATGCTAAAGAATTATCAGTTTTATATTTAGTGAAAAAGTATTTGAAAACTTTTGTTCACCCTCTGTATAATAGATAACAATAGCAATCTAACTAAATAATAATTATATAAATAAAAAATTCATGTTTTTATAAATAAAATAAAAAACTTTATTCAAATTTTACTTATTAATTTTTTTTATAATTAAAAAATTAAAATTAGTTATAAATTTAAAAGTTGCAATAACTTTTTTTTAGTCTAATATTTTTGATCAGAAAGTGTACATGTTTATATATAAAGATCTCTTTAATATAACTTTTCAAAATACAAGATTTGCATAAATATCAAAATGGTTTGCTATCATAAAATAACATCTTTAGATAAATTATTTTTCAACTATATTATTAGAATCAATTTTATAATTATAATCTTTATTAGTATAACTATTCTTTCAACTAATAATCATATGCTGTAAGATAGTTTAACTTATCAACAATTTTATTATTAGAAAAATAACTTAAGTAAAATAGAATTTGATCTATCATAAATATTATACATATAATAGAGGTTTTGACTATAATACCAGGCTAATATTATATCCTTATTGTCTTTTTCATTAAGAAATAATAGCTGATTTATATAAATTTAACTATTATTTTACACTTTCTTATGATAATTATGCTAGCTTTTCCAATAATTATTACTATGAGTCAAATTCTACTGTTTTATCAATAGGAGTTCTGAATGAACTTGCTTTTATAAGTTTAATTACTTTATTGCTTTCATTATTATTAAGTACAGTCAAAGCTCGTTATAGTTCATTATAATAAATTTGACTTATAATGAACTTTTTTTATTCCCCTAATTTATTCTATATAAAATTCTATTCATTATAGTGAATTTAATAATAAAATCTCGATATTAGATATAGTGAATATATTAAAATTTAAATACAGAACATATATTATAAATTTATATACACTATAATGAATATTATGTGATATACATAGTATTTGTAAATCATATATCGTAATACATTTTTTTATCTATTGTAACACATTTTTTTATAGTTTTATCTATAGTAACATGGTTTTTTTCTCAAAATGCCACCTGTTAGAAGAGACAAAGAAAAAGTAAACAGAATCAGAAAAAGAAAAAGCTTATCATATGCAGAGAAAAAAGGGTTATATAAGTGACAAAAGATAATCTGTCATACAACCAAGAAGATTTTGCTAAAAAATTTGATATATCAAATTCGCAAGTTTGTAATATATTAAAAGAAAAGGAAAAATGGCTATCTATTGATATTTCAAATAAGGAAGTTAAAAATCAAAAACGGGATAGTGGTACTAAATTTCCAGAAATTGAATCTGCGTTATATTTGTAGATGCAGCAAGTATTGGCTTCAAACTTAACTATTATAGGGGATGTTTTAAAAGCTAAAACTTTGAATTTTGCAGCTAGACTACAAATAACATCCTTTATTGCTTCAGATAGATGGCTAGCAAAATTTAAAAAATGGTATAATATAAGATAAATCAATAAAGCCAGAGAAGCAAATAGTACGCTATTAGAAACATTAGAAGAAGAACGTAAGATTTTGCAAGAAGTTATAGAATAATATGATCTTTGCAATATTTATAATATTGATGAAACAGGTAAATACATTAAAATAAATACAATTTTATTTTTTTTTTTTACAAAAAATTTACAATTTTATTTATATATATATTAGTTTTATTCTGAAATTTAGAACCATTTAAGACACTTTCAGATCATTACATTTCTGGTACTAAAAAATCAAAGAATCATATCACAGTTGTTTTAACCTATAATGCTGATGAAGTTACAGATTACTTGCTTTAGTAATACATAAGTGGCAAACTCCACGTGTTTTAAAAGGAATCAAAAAAGATGATCTGCCTGTCTGGTATTACTGGAACTGTACAGCTTAAATGCAAGTATCAGTATAATGTGATTACCTAAATAAACTTAACCAATTAATGAGACAACAAAATTGTAAGATATTGTTATTAGCTGATAATGCGCTAACTCATTTAATGGATAAAACTATTTTATTGTTAAATATTAAAGTGCATTTTCTTTCTCCGAATATAACTGCTCATCTACAACCCTTAGATGCCAGTATTATTAATAATCTTAAAGTAAATATAAATTGTTATTAAATTATTATTTTTAAAATAATTTTACTTATTATATATTTATTATTTTAGGCCTAATACAAAAAGTTATTAGTTGTGAATAGAGTATAAGCATATGATTTAATTCAGGAAAATGACTCTGATATAACACTAGTTAATATCCTTGATGTTAATATAGTTATAACTTAGCTCTAATTTCACATATTTCAGTAAAGTATCTATTATTTATCTATTAGTAAAGACTAAGTTTCTGTTGATTGTTAACTTCATTTGTATTTACATATTCTTAAAAACTCAGTATTTAGGCATAATTAATGCTGATCGATAGATTGATTAATTAGTTATAAATATATATTAATTAATATGTTGTATTTCATATATTAATCTGTGTCAAATAATAACTGATATTCATTAGATATTAATCAATATCTAACGTATGTCACTTACTTATTGACAAATAATATGCGTTAGTTATTATCTGATATGCATTAGTTATTAACTGATACAACTTATATCAATTATTTGTGAAAGAAAAAATCTGAAAATTTGCTGTATTACAGTACATTTAATATTTCTATTAATTAATTATTAGAAAAGATTAGCAAAATTAATATGAATTTTAATAAGCTGATATATTTATTTGTTCACAAATTTTATATAGAAATCATCAATCATTATTACCTAAAGAAAATTAGTGCTTTAATAAATGTAATTAAAAATATAAAACAAACTAATTTTTATGTAACAATCTGTGTAATTGTAATATTTTATAATTGTAATACTTTATATGTAACACTTCAAAATTGTAAAACTTTATATGTAAATTTTATTTTTTTATTAATTCACTAACTATTTTATTTTTGAAATACTCTAATTTTCACACTTGTTTTAGCATAAACGACCACTATGATACCTGCTTCTACAATTTTTTTTAACCTTTTTATAATGATATTTTTACTATTACAATTATTTTTACAATTGTAAATAATACCCATAACTAGTCCAGTACTTTGAAATACCTCCGACGTGCTCCGCCGATCGATTAATCACGTGAAAAACGCGACTTGATATCAGATAAGCTTAATTTTTCGCGTTGACGCGTCAAGTAATTCTTTTATATTTACCATACGCGCTACTTTTTCTCTATACCTATTTTACGATTCTTACATACATTTTTAAAACAAACTACCTTCGACGCAACTATGAAAGTACAACAATCTAATAACGTAGCCATCGCTTCTGGTCGTAAACGAAAGGCCGTCGCTACTGAAAATAATAATGAAAATCAAGAGGCATCCAATTACCTTGGTTATGGTGGTAAGTTTTTTCTTTGACCTTGCAATCTTTAAATCATACTTTCATCAAGTGACAATTTCCCTAATCATCTTGGCTTTTCAGAAATTATTTCCTACTTACAAGAACGAAAAAACCCATCATATCGCGGATTTTTGGTTCTTCACCGCAAGGTCGTTATTACTTATTTATTTTCGAATGATTGGAATGTCCTCAACAGATACTGGGTTATTCACTTTCTGGAAGAGGCAGAAAGACTATTAGATCAAGTAACATTCGAGGACTTAAAGAAAAAGGTGCATATTTTTTATTTTATAAAAGAAGGGTAACTCTTAGTTCACTTTCATCCTTAACAGAAGGTTAGACTCAGAAGAATAACTGTATTTGACAGATTGGTATCCGTTCCAAGTCCCATGCAGGCAGTGTTGGCATTTGGCTACGGCCAAGAAATATTTGGCCATTTGTCCATGGTCAATGGCCAAAATGACCAAACAGCCAAATTTTGGCCAATTAACTAGGTGTTAATACTTATTAGAATTTGATTCACATTTGGCCGCGGCCAAGAATTTTTTAGCCATTTTGGCCGGCAAAATTGACCAAACTTCGGCCAAACGGCCAAAAGCCAACACTGAATGCAGTTGCTCTAACTTTGTTGTTAATAAATGTCTACTTGATTCTGGAGGATGAATCGGTTACGCACCTTCTCTTATTACTAAAAAAAATGTTGCATTGCTAATACCAATAATTTCATGACAGACAAACTCTGAACATTCAGAAAAACGGTTGAACTCGTATTGGAAAGGAGTTGTTAAGGAATGCGAAAAAGAAAATCCACAAGCACCTACCGGTAAGTCTTTAATTACTTGTTAATAATATATCACCAAACAAACTACATAAGAAAACATTTCTAATGTGAATTACACTGCTTTTTTCTGTTTATTTTATTAATTTGTGCTTAATAACCATTAGTGCTTCCGAAAAAAAGGAAGAAACAAGATCAATCGAAGACAACTGAATTGGAGTTTCTATCAACAATACCTCCAACTATATTTTATCCTGATCTTGAAAAAAGTACCAGCACCACGAAATCAAGTACTGCTCGTACTCCACTTCCAGTCAAGTGTTGGGCTACATTTTTTGACGAGGTCAAAGCTTACCACTTTGATGACTGTATCCAATGTTACTCGCAACCAACATTTAAGACCTATGATAAAAGTTATGACATATCAAATGAAGAAGACGTTAGTGGAGCGTTGAAAAATAATTTACTTGACAACCTCAATATTATTACGGCATCACGAAAACAAATAGAGGTATTCAAGAGGATTTCGAAGGAAGATAAAGTTGTCGGAGAACCCGATTTCATCTATAAACGAATCGGTAAACGAGTTGGCAAACTACTGTTACCAATCGAAGTGAAGACCTCCTGGGTCTTATATCTGGAAGATGATGAACCACTTCATGAACGATACGAAAAAGACTTGGAGAGGAAAAGAAGTGAAAAAATACTTCCAGACTCCAATAGCAAAATTTCTGTTGTGGACATTATTCGCCAGATTTTTGGGTATCTAGTTGTCAATCGATTGCAATATGGTATCCTCACAACTTATAATCAACACTGGTTCCTTAAAAGACCAAAAAATGAACCAAGAGCCCTTTATATTTCTCCCGTAATAAACATAGGATCAAAGAATCCAACAGTCTTTCAATGCTATGGATTCTTACAGTATCTAGCTAAAAAAGATACTAAATGTCCTAGTCCGGGAGCAACGCCATCACAATCATCATCATCAAGTATTGATGATAATGAAAGTTCGGATAACAATACAGCGGCTTCAGATTATGAGGAAACTTCGGATAACATTACTTCGGGTTCGGATTATGAAGAAATCTTTTCGTCGTGAAAACGAACGTTTTTGGAACCTATGAATTTCGGAGCAATGTTTTCTGCGCCTTAATACTTCTTTGAAGCGATGATGAACACTTCTAGCAAACAACTAAAATTATTACTTATACGAGCGATTAATCAAGGATTAATTATCATCAATTACGGTTATTATAGGAAAAAATTTTCAATCACCAAAATTTTCTAATACAATTTTCAGGAAAGCCGAGATGACAGTTCTACTTTCATTTAATCACTACAGCGACCTAGCAGAGATCTTGAAACGTTATTACATACTTCTGGGCAAACCAGGAAATTACAATTAGGCTATCAATTACGAATACAAGCAATAATATTTCGAATCTAGTCATTAATCTGCGTTAATCTGAATCATTGCATACTACTGGAATCACAGACAAATTTCAATTGCACCGGTAATTGTTAACCATGGAAAAGATTCATCAAGGTATAATCAATCTAGAAATCTTGGATTTAGTAGACAGTACATAGCATCAAAATTATCATCTGTCAGTGAAAAACGGGATTTACTAAACTTCGACCGATTTACTTGATCCAGAATCGGGTGTAATGTTATCGGCTAATCCAAAACTTAGAATTTCTTGCGAAAAGAGAATATCATGAGAATAAAGCGTCGTGGATTGGTCTATTAAACGCATATAATGGGACAGAAAATAGGTCGCGAGTCACTAATAGTATACTTCGAGAATGTCCATTGCTTATTTATGTAGCGGTGATTTGTTTTATCAAAATGGCATCTTGATTTAATCCCGTATGAAAATAGTCAACTTCAACGATAAACATAATGTTGCCGAGTATGTCATGAAAAGTTTGTGCCACTTCCTATGGATATAACTTCTTACGATGTTCAAGGTGTTCGCGACATTTTAGTTTATATAATCTTGAATGCCCATTGCGAAAAGAACATAAAGAAAAAGGGAGATGAATGTATTAGAAATCAATACTATTTACCAATAATAATAACAAAGGAAAGGCGAAAGTGGTTGTACTTGCAACCCTGCAATCCATGTTGAAGACAAGAAAGAACATAACGAAAGAAGGCAGGCGATAAGTTTTGCAGAAAGTGGCACCCTCTCTCCGGTATTAATAAGGAGAAATTTGAAGTAGGCGAGGAGCTGGAAGAGGTAAATAGAATTTCATTTCTAAAAGATTTAAGTATATAATATAGATTTATATAATAGAAAAAAAGGAAAAAAACAATTGTTTAACTTAAAGATATTATTTTATTCAATTTAATAAGTTAGATACCTATAGTTTTAGTTGAATATGTCCACAAGTTTCTCATCTAGATTTTCGTTAATTTTTTAGCCTTGTGCGTTTCGATGAAATGCAAAAAAAATGAAAAGTCCAACATTAGTGAGGTATGGTACAAACCATTCCTCAGATGAAACACAAGTACCGGATATGTGCACTTAAGCTCAGTCTGAGTTAAATTGAGAAACATATTTCGGTCGATAACAATATAATCTGAGAGCAGTAAATTTGTCGAGTGACTTCGAAGAAACGATTTTCGTGCTGCATCCTTACAGGAGGTTATCAGGGGGACTGGTAAGTTCTTAGAATAAGATCGAATATTTTAAAGTCAATTATCATATAACACCTTTGTAATGATAGGGTTCCATATGAAGACGCCCAGAAGATCGTCGAAAAACCGAAGGAGTATTGGGCTTATATAATCTTCTTGAGGCCATTTTTACTTTTCCGGATGAATTATTCATTCATTGAATGTTAACCAGAATTTTAAAGTTGCAAACTTTAATGTTTGATGATCTAATTATGACTATCTGACTTTTAGTTATTTTAAATTATTTTAATTTTAATTATGATTAATATATTAATTTTTTAAGATTATAAAATGGATATTATGATTTATAAAATAATTTGCAAAAATTTCGTTATATTATTACAAACTATAAAATTTAAGATATGTATTATATAATGAATATATTTAAAATCAAGTTTATTCATACTTATTTCTATGTGCGAAAAGTGCACATTATATAGTGAAATTATATGCAGAAATTGTGTCGACAGTGTGCAGATGTTACACAGCAACGCATGAATAATTTTTCAAATGTGCGCAAATCATAAGTTTTTATAAAAAAAAATAATTCGCATTTTTTATTTATTGAATACAAAAAAATGTTTTTATTATTAATTGAATATTATATTAATGTCCAAAATCATAATTATTTTCTAATATGCATATTTTCTATTCATTAGAATATCTAACATATTGATTTGCTCAATTATTCTAATCAAAGTTATGAAAATTATAGATCCATTTGCAAATATTATTAAATGCATATTCAATAGATCGTAACTCATCTGATTTCTTAATTTAGACTTTGTTAATTTATGATGAGAAAATACTTGCTTAATATATACATTAAAAAGAGAAAGCTAATTTAACAAGTTTAGAGGTTAATAGATAATCTTTAATAAATGTTCTCGTTCTTTCAGTAAAATCCAAATTTCAAATTGATTTTATCATTTACTTGACTATTTTCCATTCTTATTAAAACTGTTTTATATATTGATAAATCCTTTTCAGTTCTAATAAATTGTGTTTTGATAGCTGAAATAGTTGTTTCTAAAAAAATGCTTTAATTTTGAAAGATCTACAGTATATAATTGCATTAAAAAACTTGATCATTTTTAATAAATATATATTAAATCTACCAAAAATATTATTGATATAATAAATTCTAGATCCAGATTAAAAAAACCTAATTTTAAAAGACTTTATAAATGATCTTATTATAGTATTATGATAGGTTTTATAGTTTTAATAAAATACGTAGAGTAAATAAAACTATAACAATTATTCAAAGAATTATGAATAAGAATTCATAATAATATCAAAGATTATTTTCAATAAAAACATATAAAATAAATACAAAATAAATACAAAGATATTATAGAGATTATGCTTCAGAAACCCTAAGTCAATATAGTAAATTAATATAATATTATATAATAAGTTTATTAATAATAATCAAAAAGATTTGTAACAAATGCAAAAGGTTTACAAATAAGTTATAAACAGTTTTAAATACTTATAAAGAATAAGTTTTATACTTAATTAATTATACTTATTTATTATTATAATAAATTCAATACTTAAAAATTATCATCTTATCAGTTTACCTTTATCAGAAAGGTAATAAAACTTAATAAAATATAATGATATTTATACATATTAAATAATTAATAAAATAAACTAAACTAAAAATATTCAATAAAAATAAAATTGTCAAATTTGCAGACAACTAAATAGATACCTAATTATCAAGGATAATAAAGTTAACATCTGAGGATTTACATAATAAACATAATAATAAAATTGACTTTTTAATTTACCAATTATTTTTTTATCTAAAATTTTATATATTACAATGATTTTTTTTGCTAAGATTCTTATTAAGAATAATCTAGTATAATAATTAATAAAATTATTATAAATAGTTTTTTGAAAGAATAATAATTAATAGAATACCTTAAAATACCTTTAAAATTAAAGATGATCACTATAATTAAAAAAATAGTGTAATTGAGTTGCAACTTATAATGTAATTAAATTTTCTTATAATAAAATTAAGTTGCAATTCAATTGAAATTTAAAAATAATTATGAGAACTATCTTTACTCAAAATATTACCTTTACATTAGATATGGCTTTCTTTTTTAACACATATACATTATGCATATTTTTTTGTAATTATTCTAAATATCTTTAAAAAATTCTTAGGTTTATAGATCTGAAAAATTGTTAGCTTATAATAGTAAAATATGAAACAAGCCCCTAATAATTCTAAATATTAGCTGATTATTTATATAAAAAGAACACAATGTGAAAGTGGGGGTTTGAGGACCAAAAGTCCGATCCCCACTGAAACATAGTGTGTGTGGATCACAGAACGTTAAAAACAATATCAAATTTTTTTATTATATTAGAAAAGCTTCTAACGGCTCTAGAATCTTAATTTCAATATTATATTTCTTAATTCTGTATGACTTTTTCAACCTCAAAAAGCATATCGATTTTTTTTTATTATATTAGAAAAGCTTTTAACGGCTCTAAAATCTTAATTTCAATATTATATTTCTTATGTGTGACTTTTCCAATCTCAAAAAGCATATCGATTTTATTAATATATTAGAAAACCTTCTAACAACTCTAGAATCTTAATTTCTATTATTATATCAGGAATTGATTCTGCGCGAGTTAGCCCTTTAAATTGTATATTTACTGCTTAAGTCTAACAAAAATAAATATAACGGTCCTTATTACCCCATAAATAAATCTAACGATTTTCTTAAGTCTAACGAAAATAATGAAATAAGTCTAATGAAGAAATTAAGTCTAACGAAAATAAGTCTAACAGTCCTTATTACCTCATAAATAAATCTAACGGTTTTATTAAATC